TCAATTTAGTTGGGAATTTTAATTTCAAATGGATTGAGGAAAAATCAAGATAATAGATAGAAATGAGAAATTACCCAGGCAGTTTATGGCTCTGGCTGCTCAGCTATAAACAGTTGCTCTCTGGTGAAATGTGGTACTGGAGGACTGGATGTATTTGTTCTGATTTTGCTTTCTTCTGTTTTTTTTTGCTCCTTGCTTTGGTGTGAGATGGTCTGGAGGACATAGTTGGAAACTGAGCACATAGATAAGGGATACATAGCAAAAACAGAGCTGGGCAAGGCTGGTGCTTCACCTTGTGTGGAGATCACGAGGTGATTTCTGCTCAAAGCAGAATTTGCAGTCTCTCCCAACTTTGCTAAATTACAATCACAGGGCAGTGATTTCCCTGGTTTCTCTGTCAGTGTCTTTTTTTCCACATCTACTCAGGGAGCCTTCTCCAGCAATTTTTCCAGGGACATTTCTTCCTTGGGTCCAAAGTTAGTTTTACCCTTTCAGAAGGGCTGAGACAGCTCTCTGCTGTGGACCAAAGGGTTGTTGGCTCAAAACAGGAGAATATTATTACTTTTCCAATGGCAAACTTTGACAGTCTGAGAGAAGCTTGTTCAACTTCTCCAACTGATAAAAATGCCCATGTTCTTAGAGTGCTCAGAGGGAAAAGAGCCCATGGGAATGCAACCATGACTGCCCAGATTTTACATAAATTTCAGTTTGGCTGGTGCAGGGCAGGGCCAGTGCATAGATGTTTCCTGAGGAGAATTCATGTCTAGGAAGCATCAACATTGGCTTCTCTGGATTTTTCCCTTCTATGTCGATGCTTTGACAGAGTTTTCTTTCATTTTGTACAGCCCACAACCATTTTGTGGCATAACCATAGCAAATAACCTGATTTTGGAGACAGGGCAGCCCCTGGCCAAGGCGACAGCCTCTGTGCTCCCTGGAACTGTTCCATGCCCAAATTTTGTAAGGATGGGAGGTGCTAATTGCCATGTCATGGTCATCCACCAGTGATGGCCATGGCAAAGTCTCTTTCAAGGTCTTGAATCTTGGAATCCTTTCAACCCAGCCAGGTCAGCTCCGAATTTTGAAACATCTGCAGGCAACTGCTGGAACCTGCTTAAAGCCTCTCGAGGTCAAATTTTGGGTGCAGAAGGATTTAGGTGGCCTAGGTAGGCTAGAGACATGATATATCCCACCAGGACATGTGTGAGGCTCTGATGGGTTTGCACTCACAGCTGGAGCTGAGGGAGGTGTAGGGATGGGGAAAGGGCCAAGGGAGACCTTTAGAAAGGTCTCAGGAACCCCAGTGACACTCAGGGTGGGAGGAGGTGGCAGGGAGCTGGGTGCATGTGTCACATTTATTGTTTTGAGCCTTTGCACCACAAAAGGATGAGAGACAAGGAAAAAAAATCCAAAGGGATCTGGGACGAGAGCCAGAAGAGGAAGGAGCAAAGCTGTGGAGATTTGGAGCTGGGCTACAGCTCATAGATGTATAAGCAAGTTCAGCCTCATGCACCCCAGCTCAGCTGAGGGACCTCAGAGCACCCTCTGGTGTGGATCTGAGCTGGGATGGGGTCCTTCCATGACCCACTTCCCTCACTGAATTCCAGAAAGGCCATTCAAACCTCCTGGTTGTGGACTGCACACTCATGGGCCCTGAGGTGGTCCCGACAATGGAGGGGCAGGAAGAGGAGGGTGGGTTTGCTTAGTCTGGGCCTGAGCAGGCTGGGCTGGTGTGAGCAGCTGGCAGGGTGTGAGCTGTGTTTGCAAATTTGAGAGCAAACATGAGCTGGAGGTGATTTTTGTGGGAGAGGTGGCGATAACATTCAGGAGCTGCCTGGGCCCAGGGACCGGTTTGAGATAACACAGAGTCAACGCCTGGAGAGATAAAGCAACTATGAGCTGGAATAAAGGGGCACTGGGGAGCGGTCACAAAGCCCCCTGCTTTTCCTCATTTGGGTAAACCACTGGAGTTGTCCCAATGCTCAGTGGGAGCCCTGTTCTCTGTTCCTTGGTGAGCTGCAGCTTTGCCATTCCCCTTCCTCAGACACAGCTCAGCATTTCCACATGGATTGGGAAACCCTCTGGCCAAGCATTCAGCCGCTGGAGACAATCCACAGATTGCTTGGAGAGACATTCTCGTCCTTCAATCCATCCTGGCTGTGGTCATCTCCATGGGGTGGCTGGAGAAGAGCATCAGGCTGTGGTGAAGATGCTCAGACTTGTTCCACAGCTTTCCTCTCACCCAGCCCCTTCTTGGGTTGTGCTCTGAGCCAACAGTTCAGATGAAACTCTCAGGGGATCTTCTGTTACCTGGGAAAATGGGATGAATGTATTTTTCCCTATCATGGGAAGCTCAGAAACAACCATTAAAAACAAGCTTAAAATCTGAATATTTGAGAAAGACAAAGAAAATGTGCTAGGGAAGGGTTGGGAAGGAAACAAGTTTGGATTTTGTCTCCAGAACTCTGCTTCAAGCATCCAAAGAGGAAGGTGTGGAAGCTTTGAATGCCCACTCTATCCAAGCATGGTTCTAGTCAGAGCAGGAGAAATGGCAGTGGGATGGCTGGAGGACACTTCAGCCAATACTTTTGGGGATGAACAAACAGAAGACCCAAACCACAATAATTCTTCAAAGATGACAACCTGTGGAGTGCTGAGCATGGCTGAGTGTTTAACTCTTAACTGAGGACTGCAGCGTGACCATCAGCAGCAAAATTCCTTCCTCAGCTCCATTTTTGGGGACAGCACACAAGGCTTCACTGGGGAATGTCCAGCCCTGTGTTGGTTCCTCTTCTTTAGAAAGACATGGCTCCATCTGGCGCTGCAAATCAAAGCCAGACTGGTTCTCCTGAACTTTCCTGCACACTTGGAGATTTTGATGATGCTTTTTGAGTGCTACACCATTGCTCTGGGGTTTTGATGTCCATGAGTAAGAGCCATGATGAGAAACAGCATCTTCATCCACAGGAGAAAATTCCACTCCCAGGGAAATGTTACTGAAGTGACGGACTGGACATGGGCACATCCAGGGATGGGCCTCTTTCCAATGGGTGTCTTGAGATCAGCAGAGCTTGGGATGTGAAATAGTGGAGAAGGGCGGCTCCTGCTGCACAGAACCAGTAGCTAGGTTGGAGGAAGGAGTGGTATGTCCCCTCCCACCAAAGCAAATGTGGATATAGGGATGGAAGGGCCACCACTGCTGGTATTCCTGCAACCACCCAGGTGTCCAGCTGAGCATAAAAAACTGTCTTTTAAAAGGAGGCAGAGGTGTTTGGGGAAAAAAAAAAAGCTGGAAAAAATATGTTCACCCCTTTAGTTCTCCCCCTTTGCTTCCTTTTTCCTCCCCAAGGGTTATTTTAGCTATGACCAGTCTATGGGTTCGTTTCTCTGTGCACTGTTGCACACACTTGGGAATAGGGGTTACATCTCAAAGGCATATTGCTCACTCTGACATGTTCTGGTAAGGTTCAGCCCAGAAAAAGGGATGTGGGCTCTTAACCACTGGATGGCCAGAAACAGGAAGGTTGGAAGGTGGGAAGGACAGGAGTCATCCTGGAGAGCTGCTGAGGAGCATCAGGGCTTGGATAAAACCAGATTTTCTAAACAGGGACACAGTTCTGTCTGTGGGACACAAGGGATGGGATGGAGAACTGACCACATTTTAGCGCTTTTTGTCCTTCTGTCTTCCAGGTACTTCCCATTCCTAGCTGTTGTCTCAGCTTCTAAGTCTTCTCCAGCCCTGATCTATCACAAATCGTTATCCCAAATGAGGAATTTTAGTCAGCATTCCTTGTCCTTCACAGAGGATGAGCAGCTCTACCATCTCTGGTTCTTGAGGGTTCCCTCCTATGGTTTTTGTCCACTTTGTTATTTTTTGCTGGCAATTTTAGGTAGGTGAGAACCAACCATTCCTGTGACATAAACTTGCCAAAGTGAGTGAAGATTATGACATTTGAATAGAACTGATGGAAGCAAAGACGTCTTGTGCCTGACCCGAGAGGGCTGTGATTGCCATGAGACATGGAATTGTGCTCTGGCTGCCCCAACAGAGCCCCACAAGCCGAGGGATGTCCTGGATGGTTGTTCTCCAGAAGGCAGGAGCAGTATCCAGGGTGTAATAACCCCATTGTAGCTCCTCCATGGACACAAATCAACCTTTCCTCTCTTCCTGGTGGCTTTCACATGGCTTCACATCCAGGTGCTGGTGTGGATGGTGCCTGTGGTATGCACAGTTTAGAGCAGGAATTTGTTTATAGGTCAGGACTGAGTGGGATACTGGATGAGAATAGATGAGTGCAAAGCCTGGAAGGTCCTTGTACCTCACTTGGCAGAGAGGCACAGTGGATTTATATTGCTCCCATGACCCCAGCACCTCTCCACTGTGATAATGAATTTCCCACTTTTTATATCCTCCATCCCTTTCCCAGGACCATCCCTCCAGCCAATAAGGACAAGCACCCCCTCAGAAAGGCCATTTCCCATGGTCCCAATGCTCTCCTCCCTCCCACATGGGTTTCAGTGTGTCCTCGTGATGGCAGTGGGGATGTGGGTGGGTGGAGAACAGGGCTAGAGGAGCTTTGCTGGATCGGTTTGGGGCTCTTGGCTTGGTGCCCTGGGTTGTGCCATGGTCAACATCCAAAGGAAGCTCAGTGATGCCTGAGGGCTCCTCAAGGAGCAGCCACATCCCTGGGCTGGGCTGGTGCCCCCACATCCTCTGACAGAGCCCTGTCACTCATTGTGCCCCTTGTGCAGACACCTCCATGGGGGACAGATTGTGTGACAGCATCAGCAGAGGCACAGAGAGGGGATGGCCTGGGCCAGGTGCTGAATTCCCCTGGGGACACAGTCCTTGCCCCATGCCAAGCAGGCAGGAGAGGCCCCAATGGGCAGCAAAGGGTTTCAGGGGGCTGGCCAAGCCCCAAGTGGGTTGCCCAACACTCGGCAGAGCGCGGCTGCTTAAACGTGGAAGGACAAGCACTTCTAAAGGACAAAAGCCCCTATCTCCAGCCCTGCCGGCACAAACCTCCCCGGCAGCGAGAGTGAAACTGGACTATCTTGCAAAAACACTTTGAGCAAACAGCGCTCAATGGAAAGCATCTGATAAGAGCAGCTGCACTCCTGGTGGCTCAGGCAAGACGACTCCGGTGCCCCATTAGGACTGCGGCTCCCTCGGGGCCGTGCCACCTCCGCTCTCCGGGGACACACCATGTCCACCACCATCTGCCAGGTGATGGGGTTCCTCGTGTCACTACTGGGCATTGGGGGGACCATCATGGCCACGGCCATGGACACGTGGAGCACGCAGGACCTGTACGACAACCCGGTCACGGCTGTGTTCCAGTACCAGGGGCTGTGGAGGAGCTGTGTGCGGCAGAGCTCCGGCTTCACGGAGTGTCGGCCGTATTTCACTATCCTTGGGCTGCCAGGTAGGGGCAAAAACACTCCAGGTGTCACCCAGGGGCTGTCCTGGAGCTCTGCAGTTTTCATCTGAAAGGAGGAGCAGGTATCTTAAAGCACTTTGAGGGGAATAACATGATGAGCATAAAAATAGGGGCATATTTGCTGCCAAAATAATTTTTGTGGTGGGGTTTATTGGTGGGGGTTAGAACCTGGAGCATGTGTGTGGGATCTCTGGCTGAGCATCACTGGTTCAGCACCACTGCTGGCATAAATCTCACCTCCACTGAGGTGAGGGGAGCGAGGATGTTTAACTCCCCAGCTATTGTCCCTTGGAATGGAAACACAAGGAAAGAGGCTGCATGCAATTGTGTAGTGTTATCAGACAATGGAAATAATTGAAATGTACTTTTTTCCATGGACAGAACTGGAACGGGAGAAATCTGCCTGTGAGAGGCATGGGTAGGAAGGGCATGAAGGGGAAAGGTGTGTTCAGTCACTCCCCATCACCAGGGCAGTGTTAGTGTCTACAGAAGCAGGATGCAGAGGCATATTGCTGTTCTGTTTGCTTGCTAATATTCCCAAAAGAGCTGTTTTTCCCACCCCACTGCATGTGGGGGTATTCCAGTGCTCCCAGCCCAGCAGTAGATTGGGAGTGTTTCTCTCTCCTGGTGCATGATCACAAAAAGGTCTGAGCAAGCACTGCTGTTCTCAGGCTTTCTGCAACTGTTGATCCAAGGGTGATGTGTGTTCCAGCCCTGTATCCTCAGGGATGCCATCCTTAGGGTGCCCTGAAGCTCCGCTGAGGGCCCATGACTCTCCAAGGGATGCCATGGAATAAATGTGTCTCTGTGTACCCAGCTTCAGGATTGCCAGGTGAATTCTTTCCCATTTGGAAGAGCAAACCTGATATTCAGAGTCATCCCTCCCATGGGAATATTTATTTTAAAGACTAAATATTAGATTTATCCAACTATCTCTACAAAATGTTGACCACTATATCTTTTCATAATGCTGTGGGCAGGTGATTGTGTTTTAAATGAGCCATAAGGAAATGGGAACCATCATTTTGATGTCAATTTATTCCAATCAAGATTTTACTTTTTCAGTTATTTTTAAGTAATATGGCAATAAAGAAATGTGCAAAGCTCTCACAGATAATTTCTGTTGTTAAAGATATCCTGTCAGAGTTATCTTTATTAATCCATTTAATTAATGCCTTCAAACATATAGAAAAAACGTCCCTGCTGGAATTTGCTTAACCTAAACACCTGCAGGAATCTACTTAATTTCTCTAAAATTTCTATATCCCATCAATCATTACTGGTCATAAAGTCAGATTACACCTCTTTATTATTTATTAGCAACAGAAATGCAGGTGATGGTCATTTAAATGACTTGAAATTGTTTTAACTCGCTCATCTCTTTCCACCCACATGGGGGAGGAAGACGCCTACCCAGTTCTCTTTGCCTCTGGAAAACAGGGGTGCAGGCTGTGGTTTCACGTCTCTGGCATTTATTTTGATGGAGGAGCTGTGTTTCTCTTGGTGCTTTTGCTATTCCCTTGTTGTGGACCACCAGCCCTTGTATGGAAGCCGAGTTATCTTCCCTCACGCAAAAGGTGTGTGCGAAAGGCAGGTTTGTAACTCTGGGGCTTTTTGCTTCCTGCTGCTCCTGATACCACTTTTCCATAGTCTCCCACTTTGTTTGCCTAAGCCCTTCCACTCCTTCCTCCAAGCAGAGGTCATTCACCTTTGGAAAAGCAGCTCTTTTCAGAGGACTTTCAACGGATGCCAAAATTCACCTTGAAACTGCGGTGCTGCCTTTCCAAACAGCTCCCACTTCAAGTCCCGTGAGCCAAGCGGAGAGGTCTTTGTGCCACAGCAGGCCTGGGAGAACTTCCTCCTCCTTTCCACCTCTTAGTGGAGATGGCTCATAACTCAGTCTCATGGAGGCAGGAATGGCTGCTGATGGCTATCTGGAATTTTTTCTGTCATGTCCTGTTGCACGCCTCTTCCCCCTCCAACAGCTCCTTTCAACGGAGATTCACGACAGTGCTCCAGCAAATGTGGAACATCCTTGGCTGCTTGGCTTGGCCATGCCTGTTGTGTCCTTCCATGGGCACCCAAGGCACTGGGAACACCTCTCCTGAGAGCCAACAGGCTCTCTGTGGGATCTTTGTTTGCTTGGTGGGTTGAAACACCCCAGTGATGACACCCAGGAACCTGCAGAAAACACCCAGGAATGAAGGAAGGAATGACTGTCTTGGGGACAAGGAGCTTCCATCATGATCCATAGTCTTGGATTATCAGCCTCTCCTGCCTGCCCTGAAACTAAAGCATTTGCCAAGAAACTTTGGTGGTTGCAAAGACAAATGAAGATTGAAATTTCCTCCTCTTTCTTCCTCCCATCAGGTGCTGCGGAACAACCTCTGAGGGCTGATAAGGCATATCCGACATTCCCTGATGGATCATAACTAATGAGCTCCTACCTGGGGGCTGATGAATGGGAGATTGAAAACCCCCGGCTCGTTAGCTCTCGTTATCAGCTGATAAGGGCAAATTGAGTCATTGGAGCTGAGGCAGTGGGGCTGCTGGATGGGAGAAGGTGGTGTATTCCCGGCCTGTGGAATGGCAGCTCTCCCGTTTCCGTGTGCGACGCGGTGCCACAGCGGTTCTGCTCCTCTTGCTGTCACCCCACAGGCCAGGAGAGCCACCCAGGCACCCAGCAGCCTCCTGAGAGGGGTTTGCAAATCCTTCTCCCAACCTGTGCAAGGGCTCTGTGCTCCCCTGCACCCTTGGGCGCCGCGGTCACCCAGCAAAGGGGTGACAGAGCAGAGAAGTCCCCAGGGCTGTGGAATGTTTTCCACCAATTTCACTCCATCACGGGCCCACTTTCTCTTCCCTGAAGAGGGGCAGTCATGCTTGGGGAGCACCAAAGCCAGACCCAGGGCTGTGGGATCATGTGTCAGGGCAAGGAGAGGCTGCAAAGCGTCCCAGCCAAATCCCAACAGCCCTTGAAATACCTCCCAGCACCCCCTCCAGGGCTCTGCTGCCTTCTTGTCTCTTCCTGCCAGGGACTCGTGCACAAGTGAGGAGGGGAAGTGTCTGGGAAAAGATGGGATATGTGCCACCTTATTAGAGAATCACCTTGGTATGCAAGTACTCTTTCCCTGACCACTTCTCGAAGTTTTGAAGGTGCAAGTGTCCCTTTTCCTTCTACTTTTCTACTCCACCCAAGAGGAATCTGAAAGGTTTTTGCCTCCTTCAAGCTTCAGCTCCCATGGGTGCCCCAGATAATACAGAGTAGATCCAGTGCCCAATTTCCAAGGTTTTCTTCTTCAATATTTCTGTTTTCAGACAGAGGTAATCTTTGACAATCCCCCAGACTCTGAGAAATCCCATTTCAATCACTCAACGAGGCTCTTGGTGTTTTCTGTGCAGCGATGTTCCAGGCTGTGAGGGCCCTCATGATCGTGGGGATCGTCCTGGGAATCCTTGGTCTCCTTGTGTGCATTTTTGCTCTGAAATGCATCCGGATTGGCAGCATGGAGGATACTGCCAAAGCCAACATGACCCTGACCTCTGGCATCATGTTCATTGTTGCTGGTAAGTGGGATCTGTCGTGTCTTCCATGTGGAAGGCTTTGCATTTACTCGGAATTGAGGACTGGGCAAGTCTTTTTGCATTTCTGAAGTTATTGGCTTTGTCCTCCATCCTGATTTCATGGGGTCGAATATTTTTTTACCTCTGATTAGGGAACAAAAAAGAAAAAGATCTCAGGAAACAGAAATTTCTGTGGACAAAGCATGGAAGGCTGAAAAAATATCCCATAGATGGAAAAGGAAGTATATACCTTGATTTGTTTTATATATGTTGTTACCATATATTATTACAGCCTGTATTTATAAAGAATATTTTTTCCAGTTTAAGACTTTATCCATAATAATTTTAGGAAGGTTCCCCCAGGTGACTTCTTGCACTGTGTGGCTCTCAGTCTGTCCTTCTGTCCCATCTCAGGCTTGTGTGCCATCACTGGAGTGTCTGTGTTTGCCAACATGCTGGTCACAAACTTCTGGATGTCCACCACCAACATGTACCAGGGAATGCAGAACGTCCAGAACAGGTGGGTGCTCAGCTGGCTCACGTGCTACACGGTGGAAATCTCCCTCAGGGCTGCTGCTGAAGGACTGGCAAACTCTGGGAGTATGTTGGAAAGGTTGCAGGACTTGGAAGATTGTTCTTAGGAGATAGAGCCTCTTGTCTGGGCTGGATATAAGCAAGTGGACTGGGATGTCTCTGTCCTTGAAGCTCAAGAACGAGACAGGAGGAGGCCATTGGGGTTCAGACTGCAGGTGGGACTTCTGGGAACTTCTGGGGTCTTCTGGGAACAACTGTAGGGCCAGAGGGAGGAATATTCAGTGTGTCTGGGCAGCAGCAGACACCCTGTCACACCCTAACCAGCCATGCCTCCTTTGCAGGTACACCTTTGGCTCAGCCCTCTTCGTCGGATGGGTGGCGGGGGGCCTGGCCCTCGTGGGAGGCATCATGATGTGCCTTGCTTGCAAAGGGCTCATCCCAGAAGAATCCCGGTAAGCTGAGCTGAGTGGACATGGGAAGGGATTGCAGGAAACCTGGGGTGTCCAGATCTCCCACAGCCCGCCCAGGACATGTAGTGTGTAACACCCCTGCCGTGATAGTCCTTGTGAGGATGGAAACACAGAGTCCGTCCAGACATTAATTCAGCACTGCCAAAGCCACCACTACCTGAAGTCCGTGATTAGTGATTAGTGATTAGTGATTGGACCCTCTGTGAGTCCAAAGAGAGCATTTGGCCTCCCTGACCCTGTGACTCACACACAAACAGAGAGGACATAAGAACCGACCTCAAAATGTGACATTGGCACTGTGCTGGCACATTCAGGCCCGTGAACTGCAGGTTGCACAGCAGATCGTGAGATCAGGGGTAGACTGCATCAGCTGAGCCATGATTTACATGGAACTGTAGAATTCCAGAGTGGTTTCAGTTGGGAAGGACCTAAAGCCCATCCCATTCCACCCCTGTCATGTGCAGTGACACCTTCCATAGAGCAGGTAGCTCCAAGCCTTGTCCAACCTGGCCAGGAACACTTCCAGGGATGGTGTAACATCACCAGGAACTTGTATTCCCACAGCTGGTCACTGTAGGTGGGTCCATCACTCCACAAATGATTTTTTAAAGGGAAAGAAAGTGTGTGGTTCTGAAAGAACCTGAAAGGGACTTGCAGCTTTCCATGGATGGTGGGCTGAGCTCTCTGACTCCCTCCAAGTGATGACACACACAAGCCAGTGTGAGCGCAGGGTGCCATGTTGGGCAGTCACTGATGTTCCTCTCGCGTCTCTTCCAGCTACAAAGCCGTGTCCTACAACGCCTCGGGCAGGAACATCTCCTACAGGACAGGGCCCTACAAGGTTGGCTCGGGCTACGAAGCTGACCCAAAGACCAGGAAGGGTGCAGGATATGAAGAAGCTCCTCGAAATGAGGATGTGAGACGCTCGTACCCTGCGAAATATGATTATGTCTAGCAGACCTTCTGGCCTTGAGTTGTGCTATCAGATATTTTTAACTTCACAAGCAAAAAGTGCAGCAAACCAAGCAGTCTGTAAATGGGATTGTGTTTTCTAGCAAGTTTTCTCTACTCTGAGGTTGCATCTTTGTTGTGAACATCAGTTTTACTCAACTGCCCGTTAGTATTAACAGCACCGGGAGGTCTGTGACCAAAGTAAGACCCTGTGGTGCTCTCAGAGTGGAACATTTTGCTCCTATTTTCTGTATAAACAGATATACAGGAGCAGTGCCTTGTGCCCTTTCTTAATTGTTCAAATAGCAAAAAATTCCCCTTTGATAATTGCTGTGTATTTGAAGTAAATTCAGTTGTGTCCCCTTGGCTGTGCCCAAAACAAACAGAGCCTGTGGTCAGGGCATTTTCCTCCCTGGTGACTTCTCTACCCAGTCCCACCTTTGCTTTGCTGATTGTACTCCAAGGCTGATCTGCTCTGATATTTAATCTGATTTCTGTTGCTTAGATGTTTGCTGGAGCCTGTGATAGCAAAGTGTATTTATTTCTTCGGATCTCTCCAGGGAATGTGCATAATCCATTGTTATTCCTGCACTAATAGCTCCCAACCTCCGTGTGCCACCGGTGTTCCTGCAGATGTCATCTCTAATGGGGCCAGGAGAATTTCTCATTCAGAATTAATTTGAGTTCCCTTTGGAGCAGGAATCCCAGGGAGCATTAGATGTGTAACTCCACACTGACATCAGGACTTCCCCGTGGTAAATCTCTCCCCAATGATGGGAAGATTAACTCCATAGTGGAATGTTGCCTCCTCCAGCCAATAGATCAGAGAGGGAGTTTATTTGAAGGGGGAAGAGGGAGACATGTCAGAACGTTTGTGGGAAGAGAGAGCTGTGAGCTCTCAGCAGGTCCTCCCACCTGGCTCCAGAGCACATCCCTAAAAAGCTCTAGACAATGCCTATGAATAGAAAGAAGGGATGAGTTAGAGAGAAAAAAGGGGTCCAGACCCTGCAAAATAACCATTTTATTGGCATCTGCATTGGGCTTGAGCACCACTCCTCAGGATTACAAGTTCTCTGAAGGAATTCAGGCAAAACGGTTTCTGTGAAATGCTGGTGCTCCCTGAGTGTTTGCTATCTTGGAGGGATCAGAATCTGCAGCTGAACTTTTTTTCTGCAGAGTTGGACCTTTGGAAGGTCGAGTTTCCACCAGCTGAGCTGGCATCTCTGGTGGCTCCTAAGGCTGTGCTCCCAGTGAGCACAAACTGCATCCCCTTCTCCCTGTGTCCATCACTGCTCCATAAACCTCAGTTTCCATAAACCCCAGCTTCCCACCAGCTTTCCATAACCACCAGCTCTCCACCCCACATGGAGGCAAATGCCCAGCACAGGTACAGGAGGTCCTGGAGAAGGTCAGCAAGAGGAAGAGGGAACACTTGGCAGGTGGCTGGAGGAAGCAGAGGGGTGGGAAGAGCTCCCAGCCAACAGCAGCTCAGGCTGGATGTTGGCCACCTGGGATAAATCCCTGTGGGATGTCAGTACTGACCCTTCCTTTTGTTCTGCCAAAGAACCTGCTCTAAGGACTTGTTTTTAAAGGAGAAGAATTTATTTTGCAGAGCTAGATCCTGTTCTATTTTAAAAACACTCCTACTCTTTTCCATAGTTTGTATCTTTCAGTATAAACTTAAATTTTCTTCCTTTATTTTTTCCTGCTGGATTTTTTTTTTCTTTTTTGCTCGTTTGTTTTTTTGGTTATTGTTTCCTTTTTTTACGTGGATATTAAAAAAAGATAAAGTCTTAAAGACCAGAATCACTGTTTCCAGTTGTTCTTTTCTTGTCAAAATCATCAGCTCCAACCTTCCTGCTCAGCCAAACCCCACCAGCTCATGTTCCACATATTCTTGGAAGGAGTGTGGATACAGATGGGTGGTTCAGAGAAAAAAGAAAAGATTTGGGTGTTCCATTTCTTTAGAAAGATATAATGAGTCACGTGATGAGAGAAAATATCAGAAATTCCAATTAATAATTGTTGGGGGACCTCAAATCAGTGATGTGATGAAGTCAGAGATCCTTGGTGGGACCCTGAGCTTGCTGAGGGGTAGGGTGCAGCAAGATTCAGGGTAGAGATTAAACGCTTCTAAACACTTCAGTGTTCTTATGAGGGCAGAAAAATTACAGGTATGTTCTCAGCCTCCACTGGAAAGGGGCTGAAAAGCCCAGGAATGTTTAATTTAGATAGGAAACACATAAGTGGTGCTGAGGGAAAGGTAAACAGGGGAATGTGAAAGGCAAGAAAACACACAGAAAAATTCGAAATGCAGGTTTACGACCGAGTTAGAACTAAAAAAAAATTCCCGAGGAAACAGCTTTGAAAGTTACATTTTATTTTTCTGCTACACAAATGCTGCAACAAAGTCGAGGCAGCTATCTCTCGGTCACACTTTGATGTGTGCAGGCGTGTAGATGACAAGATTAGGGGCAGGAGCCTTATGGGGAGCTGACAGAGAGCTGTATCCGGGAATTCCTGCCCTTGCTGGGCTCCTAATCTTCCAGCATCAGTTTCTCATTTCCTTGCCTCGGCCAAAAACTCGCAGGATGAAATATTTTAATGCAGTGAACTCCACTGAAAAAAATCCCATTCCTGAGCAGAGAATCATTTATTTATGAGCCTGGCTGTGGCGTAACTACACTTGGTGCTACAGCTGCTCCTGTGTTTGTGGCCCTAAGGGACCTTATCTCGTGCTCAGCACCAGGGAGGGTGGCGAGCATCATTGCTGGGAATGACAGCACCGGGAGCACCCACGGCCGCGGAACTGCGGCTCCTGCTGCACGGAGAACTCGGGATCTGGACGTGGAGCTGCTGGAGAGAGTCCAGAGGGGGCACCAGGATGAGCAGAGGGATGGAGCAGCTCTGCTGGGAGGAAAGGCTGCGAGAGTTGGGATTGTTCATCCTGGAGAAGAGAGCAGGGGTGAGCTCAGTGTGGCCTTGCAGTGCCTGAAGGAGCCAGCAGAAATCACAGAGAGAGAATATTTACAATGGACTGGAGTGACAGGACCTCAGACTGAAAGAAGAAAGACTTAAGTTGCATATAGAGAATAAATTCTTGTCTGTGAGGGTGGAGAGGCCCTGGCACAGCTTCCCAGAGCAGCTGTGGCAGCTCCTGGATTCCTGGAAGTGTCCAGGGCCAGGTTGGATGGGACTTGGAGCCAGCTGGGATAGTGGAAGGTGTCCCTGCCCATGGCAGGGTGGGACTGGATGAACCTTAAGGTCCTTTCCAACCCAAACAATTCCATGATTCTGTGATTTCTCGTCTGGGACACAGACCCAAGTATCCCCTTTTCAGCTGAGCTGATGTCCCCTCTAAGCCCTGAAGCCAAAATTATCTGTTTGGGAAACCTCTGGGTCTTTACTGAAGCCAAAATTCCGTGTTCCAAGCTTTCCTCTGCAGCCCAACAGGCTTAAAAAAAAATAAATAAAAAAATTTGTGATACCCTAATTATTTTTTTGGACTTAGAGATGCAGAAGCACCCTGAGGATGACCCAATGCCTTGGTGACAGCTCATCATGTCCCAGTGCTGTTATGTGAAGGACACAAACCCCTGAGCCTCATCCACCACCCTCAGTGCAAAGGGAAAGGGGACACTTGCCCAGGCACTGCCTGGGGACAATCCCAGGGCCACCCGCCCCAAACACAACCTCTGCCCCCCAAACCACTCATTGCAGGGGGACACTTCCCCCTCAAGGATGTGAATTTGGGCTCTGAGATCCATGGCATGGGGCTGGAGCTGCTGGAAGGAGCAGCACATGTGGAGCACACAGCGCTGGACCAAATCCATCCTGCCTGGCTGTGGGCTGGGAGGAGCAGGTCCAGGTTTGCTGGGCTGAACTGGGCTTGCTGGTTTGACCAATTGCACAGCAGCAGGGAGGTTTGGACCTCTGGAGCTGCCTGGATAAAACCAGATCCCTGAGACTGCAGAACACATGGCCCTGTGAGTAAATCCAGTGTTTCCAGCTGCTGTTCCCGGTGAGGGAGGGAAGAGAACCCTCTCCCACCTTTTATTTTGCCTTTATTGACCGTAAACTGCAAGGGATGGATTTGGCAGCACTTGTAGAACCAAGGGAGATGAGCCAGGGAACTCATGAACAGTTGTTGGGGTTTTGTTCCCATAAATTTGATCATCCTCTGAAAAACACATTTCCCATTCAGAGGAGCTAATTAAATCTAGGCTTGTCTAATAAAATCGACCTGCAAAGGCTGGGTGCATTATCTCACAGCTCTGAACAGGTTCTTTCCAAGCCTCTGCAACATCTGGAGTGTGTGAGATCACTCTGGATTTGCATGGAGTTTGACCAAGGGAAAAGCTGGAGCTACAAATTGGACTAGGAGATAAGAACTCTCCTGAAATCTATATGCAATTAAAAGCCCAATCTTCTTCCCTCTGGTGACAAGGTTATTGCTTTTATGGAGTTGAACAGAGATGAATGAGTCTATGGATTAATGGCAGTAAGATTTATGACACTGTGCTTGCCCTAAATATTATGGGAGAATAGCTCTCTGAGTGAGATATTCCAACTGAATAAATTTGATAGGATTTTTATTTTCCTGTATTATTTTTTTTCAGCTTTGGGAGAACTGTGCTGCATTCAGAGCTTGTTACTGCTGTGGGTTGAATATTTGGTGATATTCCCTTGTATATTCATGATTTATAAAAGTATTACCAGTAACAGGAGCCCATGAAGGAAAAAGTCATTGGGAAAAACAAAACACACAAACTGACTGATTTGTGGGATTTCTTCTTCATTTAATTGGCCAGGTCTTTATCTCGCTCCCTCTGGGCTTGTTTTACTGTTCCCAGAGTCTCTGGAGAGGATAAAGCCAAAGGAGTCACTTCTGGCAGGAGAAACTGGGTGTCAGCAGCTGGTGGAGACCATGGAAAACCCTCTGTGCTGTGCTGAGCTAAAGAGCTGAAAAATTAGAAAGAGGCAAACAAAAACCTGTGGAGATTTCAGGAGAGCAGTTTGGAAGGGCTGGAGTTACACACCCAGGGCAGGGCAGAGGGGTGAGGACTGAGGGAAAACCAGGGGTATGGGACAGGCCCTGCTCCTCTAAATCCCAGCAGGGTGCAAGGATTACATCATCCATCACTTAACAAAACTTTGGGAGTTGTTCTAAGCCAGGCTGGAGAGGGCTTGCAGCAACCTGGTGTAGAGGAAGATGTCCCTGGGGATGGAACAAGATGGGCTTTAAGGTCCCTTCCTACCCAAACCACCCT